GACAAGTTGTAGAGGCTCAATGTGGACAACTCTAAGAATTGAAAACTTCAGGAGGAGCCAGTCCTCAGAGGATCTCCACATTTTTGTTTTACCACCTGCATCTCTACCAGGTTCTTTCAGTGACTCCAAGAGGAGAATCCCCGTGTGCTTCTGGCAGAGGAAGGGGTAAAAGAAGCATTTTGAAATATGCCAGAGCATTCTGTTCTTTTTAACAAGGCTTGCCCTCAGGAGAAACTGCTTCATCAGAGCTCAGCCTGCTGGAGTTTTATCAGAGCCTAACTGATTGGGAGAAGGGTAATACTTAACTCCAACCACTTAAGCCTTCCACATGAGAGAAAGGAAATACACAACTTTAGCCCACTCTTGACATCTTGTCCCACCTATAGGGAGGAAGATGGACTGAGAAGCATGTATAAGTTCACAGTACAGAAGCATAAGCTCTCTAAAAGACTGAGACCTAATCAAACGACTATAAAATGCTCTGCCACCCCCCACACCTTACTGCCACATCACTAAAGGCGTTTTTACAGCAGTTTCTTTTAACCAGTGCATCATGCTTGACTATCAGGAAAAGTTATTAGACGTACTAAGAGGCAGAAAACATCAGATATGGTAGGGATGTTGGAATTATCAGATCAGGAATTTAAAACAGCTATGATCAATATGCAGAGAGCATTAATGGGTGAAGTAGACAACATGCAGGAGCAAATGGGAAATCTAAGCAAAGAGATGGAAATTCTAAGAAAGAACCAAAAAGAAATGCTAGAGGAAAAAAACACTTCTACAGAAATTAAGAATGCCTTTGATGGGCTTGTGAGTAGACTGGACGCACCTGAAGAAAGAATCTTTGGGCAAGAGGATATATCAATAGAATCCTTGAAAACCGAAAACCAAAGAGAAAAAAACTAAAAAAAAAACCTAACCAAAAACAGGGCAGAATTTCCAGAGACTGTGGGACAACTATAAAAGGTGTAACATGCATGTAATGGGAATACCAGAAAAAGAGAGAAAGGAACAGAAGAAATATTTGAAACAATAATGACAGAACTTCCCTAAATTAATATCAGAGAACACACTAAAGACCCAGGAAGCTCAGAGAACCCCAAGTAGGATGAATGCCAAAAAACTTCACACCTGTGCTTATCATTTTCAAATTAGACAGCCTTGAAGATAAGGAAAAAGTCCTGAACAAACCAGAGGGGGACAAAAAAACCTTAACTATAGAGCAGCAAAGATAAAATTGAATCTGGCTTCTCCTCAGAAACTACACAAGTAAGAACAGAGTAGAGTGAAATATTTAAGGTGTTGAGATAAAAATGCCACCAACCTAAATAATGTACCCTGCAAAATTATCCTTTAAAAGTGGAGGAGGAATAAAGATTATCAAACAAAATTGAGGGAATTTTTTTGTCAGTAGACTTTCCTCGCAAGAAGTATTAAAAGAAGTTCTTTAGAGACAAAGAAAATGAGGTAGGTCAGAAACAGATCTACATAAAAGAAGAGCATCAGAAAAGAAATAAGTCAAGGTAAAATAAAAACTTTTGTTTTTTGTTCTTAAATAATCTAACAGCTGTTTAAAATAATAGCAACACTGTATTCGAATGTGTGTGTGTGTGTGTGTGTACATATACCATAAATACTTACATGTAAGTGAGATGAAAGGCAAGATAATACAGGGAACAGGAGGAAGCAATTAGAATTATTTTGTTATTGTAAGGTATTCACATCACCCATGTTTCTCACCCACCAGCCTATTCAGCTATTTTTTTTGTTTTAAAATTGCCTGCCTTGTTTGTCATATGTGTCATATGTTTGTCATATGTGTCATAGCTATTAGTTTATAAAAATCTTGAAGGCAGAGGCTGCATATTTTAACTTCATTTCATATGATTATGGTTATCTGGGTACCTGAATACTGTAAAATACTCATGATCAGTTTTTTTTAATTATTATTATTTTATTTAGTTTCAAGTATCAGTACATTGGTTAGTCATCTAAATCGTTCATAAAATGATCCCCCTATTGCATCCTCTCTCCTCTGACCTTCCACCTAGCCAACATATTAATGCTAAATGCATTCCCTATGCTGTGCTCCCCATCCCCGTGACCATCTATCAGCTACTAATTTGTACTTCTTTAGCCCTTCACTCCATTCTCCCAGCTCCCCAAACCTCCCTCCCCTCTGTCCGACACCATTCCTTAGATTCCACATATAAGTGAAATAATATAGTATTTATTTTTCTCTATTTGACTTAAATACCTTCTAGGTCCGTCAAAGCAATATCTTTTTCCATCCCCTTCCTTATCTTATGTAGGAGTCTAGTTTCTTATCCTTTCAGCCTTGGTTGGAGCACTTAATTCTTTTCCATTTAAGGTACTTATTGATAGGAATGTAGTTGCTGGCATTCTTTATTCCTGTTTTGGATACATGTTTTTCCTTCTGAAAGAAGTCCCTACAACATTTCCTATAGTACTAGCTTGGTGGTGATAAATTCTTTTAGCTTATTTTTGTCTAAGAAGCTCTTTATCTGTCCTTCAACTCTAAATGATAGCTTTGCTGGATAAATTATTCTTGGTTTGTAGATCCTGGGTCTTCATCCTGTCGAATATTTTTTGCCAAGCCCTTCTGTCCTGCATAGTTTCTTTTGAGAAATCAGCTGCCAGTCTTATGGGTTTTCCCTTATAAGTAATTATTTGTTTTTCTCCTGCTGCGTCTAATATTCTTTCTTTGTATTTAACCTTTGACATTTTAATTATGATGTGTCTTGGCGTGGGCCTTTTTGGATCCCTGATTTTTGGAATTCTCTGAGCTTCCTGGGGTTTTATGTCCATTTCCTTCACCAGGTTAGGGAAGTTTTCCATCATTATTTCTTCAAACAGCTGTTGTCCCATAGTCTCCTTAAATTATTATTATATTCTTGGTTACATTTTTCTTGCCATTCTGATTGGGTGTCCTTGGCTTCCCCATCCTCTATATTGGTGGTTCAATCCTTTTCTTCATCCACTCTGTTAATTCCCTCTAATATACTGTTCATCTCAGACAATGTGTTCTTCATTTCAGACTGGTCCCCTTTTATAATTTCCATTTCCATTTTTATGTTTTTTATCTCTTTAAATTCTCACTGAATTCATGTACACTTCCTCTAAGTTCATTGAGCATCTTTATAACCACTGTTTTGAACTCTGCATCTGTTATATTGCTTGACTCCATTATATCTGGATCTCTGTTCTCTTCTCTCATATGATTTATGCTTCTTTGTCTTCCCATTTTGGCTGCCTTTCCGTGTCTGTTTCTATGTGCTAAGCAAAGCTCCTAAGTCTCTGGTCTTATTAGTGTGGATTTGTGAAGTAAGTTTCCAGTGGCACAGTCCTGAGAGGGATTCAGCTGCAGGCCAAACTTAGTCCAAGCCACCTGTTAAGATTCAGCAAGCAATCTACAGATGCTGTGCTTATAGTTGCCTCGAAAGACCACACTAGAAACCAAGGCCAGCTGCCTTTAGTGTGAGCCTAGGTGCTGCTCAGCAAGGAGCACCTGACTTGCCGAGGCTATACCAGGATGTGGCTTGGGTGGTGCTGTGAGTTGGGGGGGGGGGGGTTTCAGGGAATCCTCTGGGCTAAGTGACCTCTGTTATCCAGTTTGATGACATCATGGCTATGGCGGTGCTGTGTCTGTGCACTGGGAGCGAGGAGGGGGCTCAACAGGGAATAATGAATACTGCCGGCACTTTTTTACAGAGTGAGTCTCCCTCAGCCTTCACTCCAACAGTGTCACCCTGTAAGTCTCTGGTGCCCCCTATGCGTAGCCAAATTGGCACTGGTGCTCATAACGAGTAGGTTCGTCACCGCCAAAATCCGCTCAGGGGTGCGGCCCCTTTAAGAGGCTTCCGCTGCTTCCAGAACTTCTGTCTCATTCAGCCGTTTGGGACCGGGCAGCCTTGTGTCCCTGCCCCGTCCTATCGTCTACCGTTGCAGGGTGCTTTCTTGGACTTCTCTTTAGTTGTATGGCTTGTTCCTCCAGATCTCAGGCGATTTTTCCTTGCTGCTGCTCCTTGTTTCCGTCACAACTTTGAATTGGTCGCCAGAGAGATGAACAGAGCCTCTATCATCTATGCCATTTTTTTTTCCTTCTCCCTCATGATCAGTTTTAAACTTAGTAAATGTAGGAGATATTAACACATCTTCACATAATGTAAAGAAAAACACTGTTCATTCAGGAATTACCAAAACTTTTTAATTAAGAGGCAGTAAAGTGTAAAGGGAAGAAAATGAGCATAGGAAGACTCAGATACAATGGGATTAAACTCTAGCTTCACCACTTAACAGATGTGTATCCATGGGCTATAAGATACTACTTTATTCTTTCTGAATTTGTTTCCTCATTGTTAAAGTTGAGGTAATAATTTTAACTTTATACGATTATTTGGAGGTTTAAAATGTGTGTGTGTGTGTGTGTGTGTGTGTG